TCGTGTAAGCCTCACTCATGCATGCCTATTTCTTCAAAATATCTCTGTGTCCAGTGAACTTGGAGGCCACTGTCCAAAGGATCACTGTAGATTACACTCAACCTGTCTCTGAGTCATTCTTCAGAAGGCAGCATTGTAGCAAGCAGCTTCCCCCACACCTGGCTGTCATATAATCTGACATGGAAATGTGTTGTAGTAAACTTACTGGGATTGTTGCTGTTGATACAAAAGTATAGGCCAACATGCCCATGATGCATGGGCCCATAAAAATAGCTTCATTATTGTGTTCCTTGGCTTTCTATCTTTGTAAAAAAAAAAAAAAAAAGAGGAGGCGCAATCACTCCAAAGCAATTCTGAGATAGTCTAACATTTCTTAGTACTTCAAATTAAAAATAAAAACACTTTAGTTTTCCTCGAGGTAATTCTGGGAAGCAGGTCTCTTTTTCATACAAGATTTTGGAGATGAAGATGCTTAACTTCTCTGCCTGTGCTCTCTAGTCTTTTTACAGGGATTTAATTAAGCCAGGTGTGGTGGCACAGGACCGTGATCTTGTTCTCAGGAGGTTGAGGAAGAAGGATCATCGTGAATTCAAGGCCAGCCTCGACGACATAGTGAATTCAAGACCATTCTGACCTAAACGGAAAGACCCTGTCACAAAACCTAAATCAAAAAGGAATTAAATGGACTTAATTAAAGGAAACTATTAAAGAAGAAAGAAGGAAATAGGAGAAGGAAAGGGAGATAATAGACAGGTATAATCAAAGTGTGTTATTTACATGTACAAATAGACTAAAATAAAACTCACTAATCTGTGTGCCTAAATATGAACTAATAAAAATGAAAAAATACTAAAATGGAGTTAACTGTGATCCCTATTTCCTGGGTTGATTAGAAAGATTAACTAAGCCAACCCACAACATAAAAGAAGATGCGGTGACTTGCACAGGCGGCAGACCAACAACTTGCTGTTTGACAACCACATTGTTAGAATGTTTATACCAATTTGGGACAATTGTCCTACAAAAGTGACAAGAAACTGTAGATAGGGTCTCTATAACCCTTATGGAGAGGTGTTGGAACTTACTCAGCCCTGCTTTACAAAAAGGAAAACAGAGACAAAATTTATAATGCAGTAATGGTTTTGGCTGAGGATATAGCTCAGTGGCTTAAGCACCTGCCTGGAAAATGCAAAGTATTATGTTAGATCCCTGGTAAAGCAAGATAGATATAAAAGATATATATATATATATATATATATATATATATATATATATATATATATTAAAATACAAGGAGTTAAGAGACATGGGCTCCAAGATCAGGACTGACTGGACCACAGAGTAGTTTTTAGGATTTAGTCATTGATCTTAAAGCTATGACTGAGGAAAAGTTAAATAAACCACCTACCTTCACTTGCTCTCAGTCGGCTTTTAAAAATGACTAAACATAGAAGTCACATATTTGGGCAATACACTATTGGTTTCCATAGCTTGGCTGTAGACAGCTTTTCCTAAAGCCACCTAACGGGTTGGAAACTTTTCCAGTGAATGTTATCTTGCCCCAGACTTCTGAGGATAATGAGCCTGTTATTTAACTAAGCATTCCCAGGGAAAGGAACTCAAAGGACCTGAGTCATGAGACAGAAACTAGAAGGTCAAGTAATCAACACAGAACAGCACCCTGTGAATCAGAAAAGAAGACCACGCAAAATTTGTGATTACCCTGGAATGTGGAGCTCCTCTGAATGCCTGCCTATTTGATGGGCCTCCCCCACAGTGTGCCTGTAAGTCTTGCAGCTGCAAATCCTAAGCAAGATGACCTTTGTTGGTGGCAGCTTCCCTTGTCTTTAGTTTGTTAGCTTTCCAAATTAGTGATTTTTCTTGCCCCAACCACTTGTCCCCAAGTTACTGACTTTCCATCGGCAAGCAGTGAATATGGGTTTACAGTTGCAATAAGCCTCAGCTTTATATTCTATTTTTTAAAGAAAGAGTTAAAATAAAATAAATGTCTGTCTCTTCCAAACCTGTGAACAACTTTGCCATAGCAAACAAAATCTGGTGTAAGAAAAGCAAAGTGAGAATCCCTGATTGCTGGGATCCTTTCCTCCTCATCCTTTCCTCCTCATCATTCACCATTCCTGGGAAATGCTGAAGCCAATATTTGTTTTCTCTGCACTGGACCCGCTGCCTTCACCTATCTCAGAGCCTTTCCTGAACAGGGCATCCTCAGTGATCAGGTGGCAGGGCACAGGCAAGTGGTGGATTCAGCTTTGGTCATCACTGGATGAGAAGTCTCTAAAAAAGACAGAAGGAAACAAAAACCAGTATACTTGCTCCACTTGCTAGAGACAGCTGGATAGAGCAGCTGCTGAATTGGATATCTCAAGATTTATATTATTTAATCCCACTGAGTATTCTGGAGACCACATAGAAATCCAAAGCTCATGGAGAAAAACAAAACAAACAAAAATCTAGAAAGTCACTGTTGATAAGGTCTTTTTTTATGAGCAGAATATATTTATTGAGAGAAAGAAAGCTCCTGTCCCTAGAGAGGGACAGGAGGGCGGCCCGAGCAGGTAGTTTCCCTGATAAGGTCTTGAAATCTCTCAATTAAGCAACGGAATTATTCTTGCTGAGGTACATGATCATTTACCAGCATCAGCCAAGTATCTATGAGGCCAGGAACATTCCAAAATCTTTGACATAATTTCTAAGTGTTTCCAACCCTCACTTGCAGAATTTAGGCACAACTGCAGGTCAAGAACTGTATTTACTTGGAAATAGTGAAAAAATTGGAAGAGTGGCTGGAAAAAATCATCTACTCAGACTTTCAGACTCTTTTTAGCATCCCTAGCCCACAAACTCTGATCCCTCCTTAATAATAGAAACTATTAACTTCTGATTGTCTAGCACCAACAGAGATGCAGTCACTCTTCTGAGATGCATATATATCAACACATTTAACTCACATGACAGTCCTCTAAGGTGAATACGATTGTCATCTGTATCCTAATCCAGCTGGATGTGGTTCAGGATACTGTCAAAGGCAACAAACTTATCAATGTCAGGGCCATTATCCAAACTCAGGCATTCTGAATCCAGTTTCCCTTCTAGACTTTCTCACCTGGAAACACACACCAAAGACCAGTAAAGACTAGATTTTTTTTAGTCCAGTTATTCTAGATACATATACAGAGACTTTGTAAACCAGCAAGGCTATCCTCTAATCCTGTGCTCATGACAAACATTACCAGTCAATCACAGTAAAGTCATCTACTAGCTCAAGGCAAGTCCTTATCAATCAATCAATTTGATATAAGCATGTTCAGTAAAAGCCAAGAAACAGCTAAGAAGCACCTCCACCACAGTGTACAGGGCCATAACAGACTTTACAGATGTAGCCTCCTCTTCTACCCTTTCAAAGGGGGATATGCCACTTGTCTGTTTGATGTTTTTAAGCCATCAAACACCACATCCACAATATGTCTGTAAGGGGTGAAGATAAATTAGAAAGACCGGTCAGATAGTTCAGCAAATTAAAACACCTGCTTAGGCAGAGCACAGGAACCAGGATTCGATTCCCAGCACCACAAGCCATGCCAGTCCCACCCCCAAGGCACACTGAGAAGGCAACTGAGACTGGGTGTGGTGGCACACATCTGTAATCCCAGGGCCTGGGAGGCTGAAAACAGGAGGATCACTAGGAATCCGAACTATGTAATGAGACCCTGTAGACCCTGTACTAAATACATAAAAAAGAAAAAGAAAAGAAGATAAATTAGAAGGCTGATTTTTCAAGTGTATCCTTAAATTCTTGGCATCTCAGGATATAGACATGAGGGGCAGCTTTTTTCTGCAAACTGACTCACTCCACTCCAGTATTATTGCCTAGGAGCTTGTTTCATTTACGTTTACAAAAGGACTTTAGCAGCTAGTCAGACAGTTTTAAAATGTTGAAGACTTCAAGATCAGTGGGGCTAAAATACCATGCTCAGGGCTGGACAGATAGCTCAGCAGAATAAAGTGCCTACTTACATGAGCTCAGGCAAGCACCGGGACCAAGGTTCAATCCCCAGCACCACATGCCATGCCAGCCCACTCCCAGGGCAGGTTGAGCTAGCCATAGTCTGGGTGTGGTGGCACATGCCTGTAACCCCAGCACGGGGAGGCTGAAAGCAAGATTACTGTGAATCTGAGCTGTATAGTAAGCCCCTGTAATAACTAAATACATTTAAAAAACTATAAATAAAATATCATTTTGTTGTGAAATATATATATGTATATATATATATACATATATACATATATATATATGATAGTTAGGATAGATATACAGTTACTTTCTCTTGGTTCATAGGGAAGAAAGGTTTGTACTAATATTGTTTAGACAAAATATGTCTACATCTTGTACTCTAAATAACTACTATGAAGATAACAATATGCAATGTATTAATTATTGTAACTGTCCTACTACTAACCTATTTTGAAACTGTTTCATTGCTATTTTATCTTTTTACTCATTGCAATGAAAAAAATAATTTAAAAAATAATTAAAAATACGTATTTGCATATAAGTGATATCAAAAATAAATAAATACATGAAATGAAATACCATGATCACTTGATTAGGTCACAGAGCCAAGGCTCTCCTGTGCTATGCTTCCTAAATCAGAGAGCTATCAGACTTCAGAGCTGTTAGCAATCTCTCCATATGGAGGATCCTAGCAGCAGTTTTAGGCTTCCTTCCTGGCCTCCAAAACCCAGAAAGACACCAAATGTTCACAAAGACCAAATGTGCTTTAATTAGCATGTTTCTTTATCCCTTCGGGTTCTTTGCTCCTTCATCCTGCATCAGAAAGTTGATTGCATTTCCTAACTGCGTATTCCCTTACCTAACTCTGCTCTGCATCCCGCTACAGACGGGACAGGTGCCAAGTTCCACCCATCAGTTTGCCTCGCTTCTGTTTTTCCAAGAGCTAGAATGTGGTCAGAGTTCAAGATTCTCTCTTCATAATGAATTGATTTTGACCCTACGAAGCCCAGAACTTCTCTGGAAGCTCCCACCCACTCTTAGAGCTCTGTATAAAGGCAGGCAAGGCAGCCGGAATAGCAGAGACGCTAAGAATAGCCTAGCAGCTACCTAGTGCCTCGCCGAAGCCCATCTGCACACTCCACTATGAAAGTCTTCACTGCGTTTCTGTGCCTGCTCCTCACAGCCTCTGCTTTCAGCCCCCAGGCATTTGCTCAGCCAGGTAAGCCACTCCTTCCCATCGCCAGAACCATCTGACCAGCATGAATCTTAAGGGCAGAGCTTGCATTTCAAAGACTGGAAAACAGGTTTCTGACCATAAAAGAATCTCCACCTATAATCCAGTCAGTAGAGCAGCCAGAGCTGGGGTCTTGGCATTCAGGCTTGCAGTGTGTGTGTGTGTGTGTGTGTGTGTGTGTGTGTGTGTGTGTGTGTGTGTGTGGTGTGTGACATGAGGGCTGGGACAGACGCTGAATGCATCCATGACCAGCTTTATGGTGAGCCATGACGTGGTGGGCAATTGTGACAGTGGGGAAGAGGGAATATCTGTTGATTAAAGACCCACAAATTTTGCTGAACTCCAAGACAGCTTTCAAAGGAGTGATTAGAATGGAATAGTCTCTGAGCATTGTTCAAGAGAACTCATTTGACTCGATTGGAGAACAAATGTGGATGCTTGTACTGTAACTCACTTTCCCATCCTCTGATGACTTAGATTTACTGAGTGTATCAGCCTCTATAAGCTAAGGCATGCTGCAGCAATAATTCTAAATATCAAAATTCAGTTAATTAAGGGACACTTTCTTGCTTACATCCCATGTCTTTAATGCATGGGCTCAAGTTTTTGCAGTTATGTAGTCAGGACCACAGACTCACTACTGTGGAGGGGCATAGGTAACACATACTAGCTCAGAAATGACACTTGCCACCTCACCTTCTTTTATTGGTCAAAACTAGTAAATGGCCCCAACCAATCAAAAGTGGCCACAAAGTGCCATCCTCGTCCTACCTTGTATTCAGAAAGCAGAGAAGGGGGAATAGTTGGTGAACAGCACCATGTAGCCCTTCATGATGACGGAATGAGTGTATGACACTGGCCACTGCTTGTTAAAGGCGATGGGTTCCTACTGTTCAGAAAGATGATCTCATGATAAAGGCAGAGGCATAGTGCTTCGTAATGAACATATTCTATGTCTACCTCCTACATGTCCTCACCCTCTCCTAACCTCTTTCTTCCTTCATGAACTCATGCTTGGGAGTATCTGCATATAATGAACAGTGCTTTCAAATCATTTTCTCTTCTAAATTCAGGTGCTGTCCCAATCACCTGCTGCTTTTCTATGACCAGTAAGAAGATCCCCATTCAGCGGCTGAAGAGCCACAGAACAATCACCAGCAGCAAATGTCCACAGACAGCCGTGGTGTGAGTACACAGAGCTTATCCTCCATGGGACCAAAACCACATTTCTAGAATGGAGTCAGAGTCACGGAGAGTTATAGGCTCAGACATCTTGATTTCTGTCACCCTATGCATGGGTTTGCACAGCAGAAAATGCTCACACAGTTTCTCTGAGTGAGGAGAAGATGAGGCTCTGCAAGCCTATCAAGACTGGCAGCCACCCCCAAGTCCAGTCCTCCCTCTGCCCCATTTTCTCTCCCTCAGCAACCCTTTTGAGCCCAGAATATTTAGAGTTGAATAGGCAGAAATTTTTAAGAGAATCTTGCTAATTGATCTCTTTCATTCCGCAGCTTTAAGACTAAACTGGACAGAGAGATATGTGCTGACCCCAAGAAGAAGTGGGTTCAGAACTCCATAAAGTACCTGGACCAAATATCCCAAACTACAAAGCCATCATCACCTTTGTGAGCCTGCAAACCAGAGCCTGAGAGATGTTTGATGTATTTTTCCTTCCTAAAATAAAGTAATATTGTAATTCCCAAAAGGGATGAATTTTATTTAGTAATTTTTTAAAATGAATTACATAAGTTATTAGAGTCTTTAAATACATCTTATATGAATATCAATTATTTTAAACATGTGAACCTTTGAGAGGATCCCTTACCCTCTGCAAGCTCCAATCCCATCTCCTGCCAAGTACAGGCAGTGTGACTCCCAGAATCCTGGAAACTCTCTTCTATACCTCCCTGGAATCTTGAAGAGTCCTAGATGAGATGATCTGTGTGAGAACAACTTGTAATTTTAGATGGACATTGCTCTTAGGAACCCAATGTGTAATTCATACTGATAAATGAAAATAAATGCTGTTTACAGAATCCATGAAATATAGAGATATTTTACTACTGTCTTCCGTTGTGATTTTTGTGGGGAACTCACATGGAGCTGGGAGAGGTAAAGATGGGTGAGAGGTCTGGCACAAGGGGAGCTGAGTTCCTGGCAGATGACTCTGGCTGGTTGGTCTTCACTGAAATTCAATATAAGATTAACAAGACCAAAATAAAATGTATTCCAGCCCTGAGAGCTGGCTTGCCTCCACACTTTCCCAGACTGCAAGTTTTCAGCCACACACTGTGCTGGATCCTTCCCACCATTCCTTCCCTCGCCCACCTCATGCTCTTCCGAATCTCTCAGTCACTTACTAGAGCAGCTGTGATCTTCCGCTATCCATCTCTACTGTCCTGTCTTCCAACACTGCAGAGCAGGCCCACGTGATGATCCACAAAGTGGCCTGGGGGAAGGCTTCAGAGGCAAGATGGGGCTCATGCTGAGTACTGATGATGAGACAGAGGGGTGCTCTTTGAAAGGCATTTCAGCCCAAGGAGAGGAGTGGAATGGCTCAAGCAAATGCCTAGAAAGGATGGGTATGGTGATTATCAAGTCCTGTGGAAGCCTCGCTAAAGGTGTCAGGGTCAGAGCATCTGCAATAGCATGGGGAAACCTACAGAAATGGTCTAAGCCGGGCTGTTCAGATGGAAGCTTCTACTCCATACAGAGAGCAGTAACTACGGGGAACACATAGACGTCTTCGCCTGAATCAGAGTAACAAATAACCTTAGGTATGAATAGTTCCTTTCAGGCACCAGATATAAAATTTTAAAGGTAAGAGAAGAAAAACAAAGACAGAGACAATTTAAGGTTTCCTGAAACCAAATGGTAATATTCAATCATATATCCAAATTTACATAACTATATCTGTTAAGCTGAGCAACAGATTTGACAATAAAGAACAGATAGTATATCAACCACTGTTAATCGGCTATTCTTGTTTTGATAATCAGAAACGTATGTATTGTTGTATGTTACCCTGTTTCTCTCTTTGTTTCTGATTTTTATTCTTGCTTTTGCTATTAGTCTTCAAAATAAAATAAAATAAAATTTTAAAAAATAAGGGTGATTCAGGAAGGAAGACCATTGTACACTAGATAGATGATTTATATTAAAATAAGTGCTGTAGCTATTTGTAGAGTCAAATATATCCTGGTTTCCCAATTCCATTCCATCTCTATCTCTATCTCCTTCCCCTCCCATGCAAAAGCCTATATGTGATATGCAAAGAATTTGAATGGTTCTAATCCTCAGTTCATGACTTACCCTCCCCGTTGTTGCAAGCATATCTATTTTGTTTTTTTGTTGTTGTCGCTTTCTCAGTAATATAATAAGCATGGGTGAATCTGTCACCCTGACTATACATAAAAACTTGACAGTAGCTTTACAATATACCTAGATGTAGTAAGTCAAGCTTTATAATCGTTATTTAAATCCTCTATGAAATTTTGAGTTATATTAAAATATCCCACTACAAGTGTAGACTTAAATAAACTAAGATTACTCCAGGAAAAACTGAACATATAGGCACCCTAGTAATAACAGCCAATGAAAGTTTTGACTCAGTGGGAGTAGATGGGAGAAGAACTTCACATAGAGTAGGGGCTATGGACTCTTTTGGGGATGGAAGAGATATACAGCTAGTACTCTATTGCAATAGGGAGGGAAAAGCACTGGTGGATGGAATTGGAGGAATGATACATGGGGAGCAGAAGAGGTCACTGCAAGAAGAATGAGCCAGGCCAGGGTGAAGTACTGAATGGTCTGGATGGAGAAATGGGACTGGTGCCATGGAGACGTCTCAAACTCTGCCATTGAAGGGCAGCTTCTTAAGCTCAGAAAACTAGCGTTCACTAATCAAAATGATGCTGAAACTGGCTTTTACAAATGTAATACATATTGTTGTTTTATGTACAAAGACTTAAAGAGTATTTCATTGGCCAAAGCAGATTCATAAAGACAGGGAAAATCAGGTCATGTTAGAAAATGTCTAAAAATACTGGTTGCAGTGTCCAATAGCTTTGGAACTGTAGATAGAGCCAGCCCTTGTCTTTGGAACATAAAACTCAGAGCCCCAGTGTTAAAAGAAAAAAATCCTCAGCAATGTCCCTTGCTGACACCCAGGGGCCACCTCCCAAACACTGAATGAGACTTTGGTTTAATCTGACTGAATTCTCTCTATGGCATGATAACAGTGTGTGAGTTCACCTGGTTGATTTATGATGTAACTCGTCTGGTGTTACATGTGAGTCATAAATACAGGTATGATCTTCCAGATTACATATATCAAAAGTAACATTGCCTGATGTTTTACAGTAAAATAATTATGTGCGTTTTAATTAGTAAAAACTAATGAAGACTATATCTATATATGTGTATATAGAGATATGTATACATATATTATATATATTCTAATCCTTATGTATAACTCCTCATCTTTATTTAACATGAACCTGGGTAGATGTTAAAATGTCATCATTTCAGTCAGTATCTGCATGTGTTTTCAAATTAAAAGGCAAGAACCTTTCTCTATTCTTTTACTACAAATATTCTACAAATTTCTAAGTCTTAAGTTTAAAAACAAAGACAGTAAGTTTTGAGTTCAAAAACACAAGTAAAAAGTAAAATACTGATGTCGCTGTTTTCTCACAAGGTAAAAACCAGGAAAATCTGTCAAACTATACTCACATTACTTAAAAATCATTGACAGTAAAAGAAAAACAAATCCGACTTCCACAAGTTATCAAAAATTTAGAGGTAATTGTAACTACAGCGAGAGGGACATAACAAAATGTAAGACTTCATCATAAAGGAGCCCAGGCGCCAGCGGCTTACAACTGCTATCCCTTTAAAACGGTTTCTAAAGTTAATGTGTTGGCTTTGATGCTTTGATAATATGTGCTCTCATTTCTCAAGAGACTTTTACATTTTCCCTACAGGATGCCAGACCCTAGGCGATCATACAGGCAAAGCCTGCAACAAATATGTTAGATTCCTTTGAGATTCCTTTTACTGGGATCCACCAGATCTTGCTAGAGAAAAGATTATATGACACATACGAAGTTCTTAACTAATTATAGTCACAGGGCCTTAAGTACTACACACCTGCTCTCTCTCTCTCTCTCTCTCTCTCTCTCTCTCTCTCTCTCTCTCTCTCTCTCTCTCCCCTAAACACATAGTAAAATTAATGAAACAGGCCGTCCGCAAATTGGATGACATTAGGCATTCTAACAACAGCACAGGGGTCCTTGTGCAGTTTTAAAAACTAAATGTTGTGTGTGCACTCCTGATCCTTCTGCCAATGTCTCAATAGCTGTTCAAGATAGTAAATGACAGATCAATAACATGTCAGACTCAAAAGTTCCCTAAACCTTCCCCTTATTATCTTTGTAGAGTCATTACTGTCTCCTCTTGGTGAAAGCACTGTTGACTGTATTCATATTACCCTGGTGGTCTTATGATTTGGTGCATGCACACTTTATTATTTCTTTGGCTTTGTCTCCTCCAGACTCAAAGCTAAAGAGCTACTCAAGATGAAAAATGTCCGGTATTTACCAAGGCCTTTAGAGAACACTCTTTGGAGAGTATCTCTGACTGCTGATCAGCAACTATGACCTCCTTCAGCCTGAAGAAGCCAGAGAGGTCATCATCTATTATTTCTTCATGGCAGTTCTGCTTACTTCTTCAGAGAGGGGAATGTGGTAGGCAGCTGAGTTAGATAGAAATATTATTGGCAGTCAGACAGGGGTAGGCCCTCAAAGGACCCAATATGGAAGACTAGATACCTTGCAATCATGGGACAGACAGGCACCTCAGCTCTGAGCAGACCTCAAGACAAACGATTAAACAAATGCAGCCACATACCTTCCCAGGGACAGACATCAGGGATTTATATTTTAAATAGGTATCAATCACCTTGAAAAAGTCATGAACCCAACCTCCTACATGAAAAGCTCCTGTTTTATATTCATGCCTACTTGCTACATGACTTGCTTCTCCATTTGATCCCAATTTAATCAATTTTACCTAACAAACTGTGCTTGTAATCTTATTGGTGGACCATAGTTTTGTTCCATCTCATGCCCACCTAGTGAGTTCCCATGTTTCCTACCTTAGACTTGTCTTACCTTGGGAATTTGCTCTATAAAAATCCCCACAAAGGACAGGTTCCTTGGCAGCCCACTTGGGTCCCTTCTATCCCTCTCCCAGATGGAAGCTTTCTTTCCCCCAATAAATATATTCTGCTCTGAAAAGAAAAGAAAAGGAAGGGAAGGG